CTTCCCCAGGTCCATGAGCTCGGCGACTGTGTGCCTGCCGTCTCTGATGAATTCATGCAGCTGGAAAGCGATAAGCGCAATGGTCTCTGAACGGTTCAGCGCCAGGCCCCGGGCCAAGCGGCGTTGTGCGAGGGACCCGACCGTGTACAGCACGAGCTTGTCCTGGTGATTAGTGGTGGTAGAGCAGGATCAGCCGCGTTAGACCCACCTGTTCGCGCGGCAACAGTCTCATCTTGACGAGGTAGGGGGGGGATGTTCAGAGGTGAAACGGGCTGGACAAAGTATCCAGTCTTATCAGTTAACAGCGGGTCGTGCCTGAACACCTTCACAATTGATCCCATCCTCATTGGCCGTGGCACGAATGACTCTGGCATTTCAAGCCATACACAACATCAAGTGTATGATACGCCAACTGCATGGGTGGGCTGGTCCTCAATACTGTCAACTACAAAGTGCCTAGCTGATTTACAACCGCCAGAATGAAAAATAATAATCTCTCTTCGTGACCCAATGAATAATGCTGTACAACCTTCAACCCTCCACTCCCCGTCCTGCTCACGGCTCGTACTTGGGCAGGAACACGCGCGGGCCCTCAGCAGGTCCATCCGTATCAAGATGTCGCGGTTCCGATTCCAACTCTCCATCCTCAACCACCGGCTCCTCCTCGAGCTCTTCCACGTCAAACGAAGGGGCCGATGGCGCGGCCGGAGCAGATTCTTCATCTTCCGGGGCGAGCGGGGGCGCCGAGGGCATCGTTGGAGAAGCTAACGGGGCGGACGGAGAGGACGGTTCCGGCGAGAGGGGAGGCGCAGACGGGATAAGGTGTAGTTCGTCGGTCGGCTCGGCAGTGATGGACCTTTGAACAGGCGGCCTCGGTGGTGCGGGGAGATCCGGATGTAACGGCGGAGCGGGAGAAGGCTCATCCAGTACTTCTGCTGCGCATTCAAAACCGTCCTGATCTACCTCGACGTGGGGGGCAGAGGGTCCCGCCTCGCCATCGTCACGGTCGAGCTGAGGTGGAGCGGAAGCACCGAGTCGCATCTGTTCGAGTAACCGTTTGTCGTCGGTCGCGATATGACGCACTCTCTCCTCGTCTTCGGTCGGAGGCAACGGTCGCTTGCCTTCTGCACGAGACACGACGGCAACGGCCTCCTCCATATCCTCCGTGGCTGGTGCGGGATAATATCCCGGTGCCCTCGTTTTGTCCGTTCCCGAGGTGCTCGCCGCGACTTCCGGAGATTCTTCTCGTCGAGTCGATGGTCCTGCGTCCGTCATGCGATAGCTCCTGACAGAGGCTGGTCTGTACTCTGGAGGCAGGTAGGGCGCAGCTGTCGACGCCTCTGCGCCATTTTCCACAGACGATTCGTCGGGAGATGAGTCGGTCGGTCTCGACGATTCGGTCGTCGGATCGGTCTGATCGCTCGAATCCCCCGCCATCACAGAGCTGATAGACCTCGTGGATGGTGTCGGGACGTCGACTTCCTCTTCCGGTTTCTCTTCGATCACCTCGACCGTCGCCTCCGGTTCCGTCTCTCTCTCCTTGTTATTCTTCCTCCTTCTCAGCCCGTGGGTCCACTTCTTCACCTTGACTCTGGCGAAACCAGCGTGACCCTCTTTGCGTTTCTTTGCGCGATGTTGCTTGTCGAGTTCGGCGAGTTTTTCTCTCAAAGCCGTGTCTGCCGGTGGCGAGTTGGGGTCGAGGCCCGCGGCGATCAGAGCCTTGCGTCGCTGTCGTTCCGCCCTTCGTTTCGCTTTGCGATGTGCTTTACGTCGATTAAACACGAGGCTGGGGAGTGAGCGGCTGGCGGACAAGGTGCCACTTACATGATGATGCCGATGACAATGGCGACAGCGAGGATGACTGATGAGATGACGATTAATGGCACGCGGTAGATGCTTGTGCGACTAGACGGTTGTCCCCATCTGTGGGTTAGCATGACGCTCGACTTGGGACGACTCACCCTTTAGGCAAGGTCGATTCGACTGCGAATTGGTTGTCTGCGGGCCCTATCAAGACGCCATCCTTGTTGACCTATTGTTAGCATTGATGAATTGCCCATTCTGTCGTGGCCGAGACTAAAAATATCCCGGGGTCACACTCACCCCTGCTTCTCTCCCGTACAGCCTCCATGCATTGTCAACCTTGTCCCACCGGCCGTCTGGCAGTTGGGTGAGGTAGTAGGGCAGAACATTCTGGTCGACCGTCACGACGCGGGTGGGGAGGTGGGTCGGGGTATTGATCTGAGTGACATAGACCAATGGCGAGTCTTCTACTTCCCCCGGTGCCTCGTCTTCTCTCTTGCGTGCTTGCGTCGGGGTGGGACGGGTAGGTGGTGGGTAGAGTCGTTGTGTGGGTTGTCCTGGGGGAGTTGATGCGAACGCGGGGGCGAGAAAGGATAATATGGGTAGTATCGGGTGGACGAGGGGTGCTTTACGCCTCTTTCTGTGTCGCTTCGATGGATGCTTGACGTCCGGTGGATCGGGCTGATTGGATGGCCCTGCCTCGGCACTGATGGACCAATGATAGGTCATGTCGAGGTGATCACGCGTGCATGAGGATGATAGAGGTTGCGATGTCAAAGGGAGATGAGGGTGAGTTGGTTGAGGGGTCGGATGGCGAGGGGTTGATGATTGGGATTTGTTGTGGTGTCGCGGTGTCTTTATAATCAGGGGTGTAGACGAGGGTATGGTGTCTGGGGAATCGATCGAAGATCCGTGTATGAGATTGTCGTGAAGAGGTATGGTGGTAGCAAAAGTGAGATGGTCGTGAGGTGATAGAAGTGTTGTATAGACGATGCGAGAGAGGGAGTGAGAAAGGGTAGAGCTTGTCGATCCAGAACGGGGGGGGGAGGGCGAGGAGGAGGGGAAGGGGGCAAGGGGGAGTGGGAAGGAGGGGGAGGGAGGGGGGGGCACAGGGGGGGGGGGGGGGGAAGGCAGCGCGAGTGAGAGTGTATTATTAGTGGCACCGGTCGGGGGGTTAATACAAATCCGACGTTAATTCCACCCGTTTGTAGTTAAATACAAATATCGACCCATCATTCACTACCCAATCCGGTAATTCCATGACACGTCTACAAACTTACGACGTCTCTAAGAATAACCCACCCACCCACACACACCCCTTATTATTCCCCCGTCCAACTTGCCCGTCTTCCCCCCTTAGCCGCTAGGTAGAGCTCCCCCTTTGCCACCCCACAGCCCACCCCTCATGGCTTCGCATGGTCCCATACAACCGCCATGAAATGCCTGTAGAACTTGCCCCGACCCGCTTCAGAGATCGCGTCCACCTGCTCTTGCGTCAACGAATGCTTGAAAGCATCCAGCTGCTCCTGTTGCCGCCCGTCATCCCGCGACGTCCTGCAGATCAGCCACTAGTCCATCGCTCCCCGCGGGGAGTGGCGCCGGAGTCTAACACTCCGCCCAACCCCCATCCGCCTCGCATTCATCATACTCACGTCACGACCACTCCGCCCGTGTATTGATGCGCCCAAAGCAACAACACTTGACCAGGCGTCAGACCTTGTTCCTTGGCGACGCGTTCGGCCACAGGGTCCACCGGTCCGCCCGGAACACGGAACAAAGGCGTCTGGGGCCCGTAGGACTGAACCTTGATGTCGTGCTTCTTCTGCAGAGCAAGCAGTCGCTGGACGTTGGCCGCGTGGAAGAGGTACGGGTGGAATTCAATCTGGTTGACCGCCGGCTTGATCTTCCAAGTCTTTTCCAGCTCGAGCAAGTCTTCCTCCCGAAAGTTGCTCACGCCGATGGAGCGCGTGAGGCCCTCCTTCACAAGCTCCTCCATCACCGCCCACGTCCCCGCGAGGCCTCTGTCCCCGACATACTGCCATCAGCCATGTGACTGGGACACGATGAACAGATCCATACAAACGGGTTGTGGATAAGGACTGCGCGTCAGCCGCGCCGGTAGTACACGCACTGAAACTCACACAAATCAACATGATCCGTCTGCAGTTTCTTCAGCTCCTCTTGCAAGACTCTGCGCGGCTCGATTTCATCGCTGCTCGCGCCGTCCTTGCCCACTGTCCGTCAGCCCGGTACCGCATATCACACTCACGCTTGGTCAAGATGAACACGTCGTCACGCTTCACCCCAGACTCCTTGAGTGCCGTGCCGATCGACTCGCTGTTCTTGTACATCTGCGCACCATCGAGGTACCGGTACCCAGTGCTGAGCGCCTTCTTGATCACTTGCACATTCTCTTTCCCGAACAGCGCAGTACCTCGCAGGTCAGTCACCCCCACTTGATGCTTTGATGGCGCCCGTCCTTTGGGTTGATCGGTTAATGGCCCGACTTACCGGCTCCAAACCCGACCACGGGGATCGAGGCACCATCATTGAGTTTGACGCGGGTGTTGGTCTGGGCGGACATGTTGACAGTGATGGTATATGCACGAAACAATCGCGAGGGTGTTATCCGATGTGTCTTGTAAAGCAGGGTCATACACCCAGTTGCATTGCGTGGGTTGTGACACTCATGGCGATGACTGCGTGACGTGCCCGGCCGAAATCCGGCAGGCAGAAACGATCGGTTCCCGGTGCACCCATCTTCCATAATTGGCCAAGAGTAGCTGCTTACTTATTCATGGATCCGCAAACGATCCGCTGCTTTCGGAGAGGCTTGAAGTTGCAGTCTTTGTCCTTCGGAGCAACCCGATCAGTCGAGCACGGCATATGAAGAGATCATCCGCCTACCCGGTATTGACCCGGCCCGGCCCCCTTTCCGGTGGTTGTGCGATATGAGATGGTAAAACGGGACGTGTGAAAAAAAGAACAAAAAACGAAACACTCGCTATCCCCGGTGTGAATCGAACACACGTTTTCACGGCAACGCTGAGGAAACACCACAACGTGATGTAATAACCACTATACGACGGAGATGTTGGTATATTTTGGAGTGGCAAAGCCAAACTATAACGGCAGCGCGCCCCGGCGAATCAGGCCAAAGAGAAAGGAAAAGCAAAAAGAAATGACAGGCACTCGCCTATCCCCGGTGTGAATCGAACACACGTTTTCACGGCAACGCTGAGGAAACACCACAACGTGATGTAATAACCACTATACGACGGAGATGATGTCTTTTAGGCTGTCTGACTTGTCTATCTAGGCGTATAGTAGCACCCGAAGGTCGTTGGCTCATTTCGTTTCATGTTAACAAGCCCTGACTTGACCCCCGAGCCATACTTGCAGTCCTTGGTTGGCTTAGCAAGGTGCTCAATGCCCCGCATTGGCAGGACGCTGGTCGTAAAGCATTGACGGCGGGATTAGGAGCGAGCAGACTGGTGGATGATCTTCTAGCTGCCATGTCTGCTCCTCACCCCGCCCCTCTTAGCAACAGGTTGGGAGTCCCGATAAACCGACCCGGCGGAGCGACAAAGTGATCCATGCCTCTCAATCAAGCATGTCTCTCTCCCCGGGTGGAGGCTTGCTAATGGAGGCGGCTGAAGCGGGAAAGTTGCCACCGCTCCGCGGGCTATCGTTGTTTGTTGTTCTCTCTGTTCTCACAAGCCTGTATGTGTTGTGTGTATCTACCCCTGATGGGCTCCGGACCTGACAGCAAATATTCCTAAGAGTCGAGGGCCACCTCCTCGCTGCCCGTACCTCCAAGATATTAGATTGTCAGATAATATGAGTGACACCGGAGAATGCCAAACGAGACCACCCCTGGTGCCCCTGGCGTTCTTCCGTCAAACTCTTTCTCCGTCCAATGTAGGTCCATATTCGGATCCAGCACTCTCAGCATGCGAGGGGCGATGTTGAAGGTATCCTCCCTGTGCTGTTATTGATCAACGCACGGAGGGAGGCAGGGGAGCCAAAGGATAGTCACGCCACAGGCCGTGTTTGATCCCGTCGGTCGCGTTTCAAGAGTACCTTTCAGTTCACCTGGCTCATTCCTCGCAACCTTCATCCGCCATGCGCCTTATCCTATGCATTCTGAGTCTCATGTAAGTCGGACGAGAAAGCCCGGCACCACTGACCATGCAGTGGGCTGCAGCTAGTGTCGGCTGCCGAGATCGTCGGACGGGTTGTGCTCGATGGATTTCCGGGCCAGGTTGTGCCGATTGGGAGCAAGGTCGTTCTTGACCATGGATCCAAAACTTCATTGATTCTCGCTGATGGGTCCTTCGTCATGTGAGCAGTCACGTCAATGTCCCATATACCGCCCACTTCAGTCGCTCATCGCAGCCACGGCGTGCCCGACGGTGAACACCTGCTGCAACCTATAGTCCCTGGCTACACCCTCCCGACGACTCTCTATACAATCGCCGAGTCTTCTATTCACGCCCAACCTTACATCCCTTCCCGACTCCCGCTTCCCACTTCCACACCGTCTATGCCGCTGCCCATCGCCCTCGTGCCCCATCCTGAGGATTACTACACCGCTCCCCAGGGCGTCAACATTCTCGCCATGTTGAAGAACCCCATGGTCCTCATGATGCTGTTCAGCGGCGTGATGATGTACGCTCTGCCAAAGCTCACAGCGAGCATGGACCTCGATCCGGACATGGCCAAGGATATGGCCGAGACGCGGAAGAAGATGCAAGGGATGCAGAATATGGATTTCATGGAATCGTACGTGTACTCGTCAGGCCGGGAGGCGCTACGTTGCCCTGACGAACAGATTGTCGAGCATGTTGGCTGGAGAATCTGCCGACTCACCCAAAGGAGCCAAAGCCGGCGAAAAGCCCACACAGGGGCCCGCTGGCAACGGCAAGAAGCGCAACAAGGGACGTTGAGCAGACCCTCCCGAGCTACATCAAGTAGATATGCATCCACGCTATCGAACTAGAACAAAACCTATCTGACCATGTTACAAAAAGGGAGACCAGCTCAAAGAACACGTAGGTGACACTAGAAAGGCAGCATGACCCCATACCCGCTCTCCCATCCCGAATCAGGCGAGGGCGGCCTCGACTCTACCGGCGAAGAAGGCAGGGAAAGCGAGTCATCATTTTCCTCCATGTCGGATAGTATCGATTCGAGATCGTCGACATCGCTTGAAGGGACTGACCAAGGAGAATGAACCGACGACGCGCTGGACTCGAGATCAGACCATACCCTCGATACCTCTGGCGAGGCTTCCACGTCCGGAGGGGCGTAGGTAGCCGGGGCGAGGGGCACTGACGGCCGGAAGGTGGTTCGATAGGTCACTGTCGACTGAGACAGGTCAATGTGGGGGATGACGAGCTCGGCACTTGACATTCCGACGTCATATATTCCGTCCTCGGCTTCTGAAGAGCACTCTTCCGTAGAGTACGCCGATATTCCGAGGTCCGGTATGGCGTCTAGAATCTCGACACTCCTCGACGCTGATGATGACATCGAGTCGGTTGGGCCACTCATAGCCACTGACTGACCGAGAGGGGACGAGGGGCGGTCCGACCAATGCTCGGTCAGAGCGACTACCTCCGCTTCGCGCAGAAGCGATACTTGGGACAACTGATACCAGTCTCCCTCCCCCGACACCTCGCCGAGCAGTGCGCGCACATCGTCGATGGACCGGTTTGGAAACGTGATGCTGAGCGCGCTTGCGACCCCGTCGAGCTGAACCGAGCTGATTTTCGGAGTGGTGTCTCCCGTTTCGTCGAAAACACCCAACGATTGAAGTCGGTACAACAGCGGGTTGACCTTTGTGCTCGCATGAGAGCTGAAAGCTTGCATCAGGGGTATGATCCCCCTGAGCAGGTCCGAGAATACGGTGACACCCACTTCTGCCGCTGCGTATGACACTTCGAGAGTCGATCTCGAGTCGTCTTCGACCGGATCGAGGGCGATCTGCAACGTCGTGTAGACATCCGGGGTGACGAGCATCTCCGGAAGGATCGGGGTGGGTGCGACGACGGGAGCTCGGCCACGGATGGGAAAGTAGTGAGCGAATTCGGCGACCTGGGGAGGGGTAAAGTAGTACTCGATATCGCGGATAGACCTCTTTGGGCCGACATCCACGTTGTTCTGTCGTGACAAGAGGCAATGGGGGAGCTTGCGCCTGTGGCGACGAGGCTGATGCTTTCGAGGAGGGTAGGAGACGACGGGCGACCAGCGGGGCAACGAGGGGTCGTCAATAGTGGACGCGAAGGCGCGCAGAACCATGTGAGCACCCGGCGTAGCTCCTCCTACTGTGGAGCTCGCAAACCCTCTCGATGGGTTCAAACCCACTCGAGCGACGATCGCTGGGCCTCGCGGGTGGTGAGGGGCGAAGCGGAAACCGCCCATGCGAACGTTTTGACCGGCCTGTCGGAGCGGGTGGATCGGGATGGGCAATGTCGCGAGGCGCGGCTGGAGCCGTTGGAAGGTTGGCTGAGAGACACTGGGGAAGGTCTCTTCGATGGCTTGACGGGCGAATTGGAGAGCGCGATTCCGTCCCAAGATGACAGCTTTAGAGGCTGTCTTGTGGACGACTTGTTGTCTGACAGTGGAAACTGCCCGACGAACAAACGTCGTCCATGAAGTAGCTGTGAATGCGGGCATGGTCGACAGCCTACTCTGTCATGGTCGTTGGATGTGAGAGTGAAGTGAAGGTGGAGCGAGGGGGGTTCAAGGAGGGGGTGGTCTTTGTACTGGAGACTTTTGAAACTGGTGGCGACAGGCACGGCTCGGAGCTGAAAGCGACACGCATCGCCTCGGCAGATTGAGGAGATGAGCGGCAACCGTGGAGCCGGGTGGCAAATTAAGTTTCAGCAGATCAACCGATTGTTCCGACGGAAAGAGCGATCAGTGGAAGCGGGATCAAACAGCAGCAACCACAGCATCATGACCTCTCTCCGGGTGGGGTGACAGCCGATGGATGAGAGACGTCGACGACTCGTGGTTGTAAACTTTGTCAATATCGTCAACAGATCTTACACCATGTATCGACACACTCTTGGCGCGTTGCGAGTCGCTGCAAGACCAGCCAACGTGACTTGCAGGCGTACTTTGATAGCTGCGCGCCATATCCCGACCCCGCTTCAACGTCATGACACCTTTGCCCGACGGAACATTGCGTTCAAGGAAAAAGTCGAGCCGGTGGAACTCGCTTTCGACGTGACTGAACCGACCTCCGCGAGCAATTCGGACCAGAGCCTTGTCATCTGCCATGGGCTTTTGTGAGTGCCCAGTGGCTACCAAGCTGACCCCGCTAGTGGATCAAAGCAAAACTGGCGTTCTTTGGCGAAAGCCTTTGCTCAAAAGCTCGGCATGCCTGTTTACACCTTGGTGCGTGGTTCGACAAAGCTCCCAGTGTCAAGCTAACGTATGTCCAGGATCTGAGGAACCACGGACTGTCTCCACATGCAGAGCCGCACTCTTACGCAGCGATGGCGACGGACATTGCTGCGTTTTTCCAGAAACTCAACCTGAATTCAGGCGTCAACCTCCTCGGCCACAGCATGTACGTGAGCGACCGAGTCGTGTAGCTGATGTCAAGGGGCGGAAAGGCGGTCATGGCTTTGGCGTTAAACGAAGAGCTGAATAAACCTCTGAGATCGCTGATCTCGGTCGACATGTCCCCTGCCAAGGGCAGAATATCTCCCGAGTAAGCCTTAGTTTTGTGGTAGAGGTATGCTGAGGCCAGATTCGCCGCATACACCGAATCAATGCTGGAAGTCGAGGATGCCAAGGTCAAGACAAAAGCCGAGGCAGATAAGATCTTGCAAAAAGTCGAGCCGGTACGTTGACGCTCCTCAGGTCATCACCTTGACGCTCATCAGGCAGATGCTCCCGACGAGACAGTTCTTGTTGACCAACACACGATCGACGGGTGGTCCAGACGCTCATCTCACCTTCCGCCTCCCCCTCAAGCTCCTTTCAGCGGCTATCCCTTCGATCGGAGATTTCCCATACGATCCGGCCCAGTCACCACCCCAGTGGACCGGCCCCACCTTGTTCTTGAAGGGTGAACACTCGAAGTATATCAACAAGCGTAACATCCCCGTTGCGAAAGAGTACTTTCCCAACATGCGACTCGAGGTGTTGGACGCGGGGCACTGGGTGCATGCCGAACAGCCTGCCGAGACTGTCCGCATAATCGACGAGTTCCTAAGGGCGATCTAAGACGATGGCATTGAGTTGACAAGCCATACCCCGGTCGAGGG